TTAATATTTTATGACCAAAGGATTTGAAAAATATAAAGTATGATTTTTCGATTTGATACTTGTGTGTTTTTCATTTTTGTATAGGATAAAAAGCATTGTGGAGTCAGGATTGATGCAAAAATGGGTTAAAGATGTAAAAGAAGAGCTACGGAGGAATTCCACATTCCACACACAGACATCTACTCCACGTTCTTTACAGATAGACGACTTAATGGGAGCCTTTTACGTTCTGCTGATTGGAAGCTGTCTCTCTTTACTGTCGCTGGTGGGAGAATTTATTCATCGAAAATTTTATGAAAGAATCCAAAACTAAAAGTCTTTGCGTTTGATATATATTTGTTGAGTGCAGTAGCATTTTTTTGTTTCTTAGTTAGTAATTCGAAATCAATCTTTCCCTATTTATTGCTATTCTGTCTACTTAGCACTACTTTTTCAATTTGTATATTCATCACTGTATGACAGCCTAACAGGATGTTTCATATATTACATCATGTATAAGTCAAACATCAGATGTATTTCATATGAAACTCGTTGGTTACCAGGAACGACATCAAAAAATAAAATAAAATATATGAAAAAAATCAAATTGGAGGAAATGAAGTATTTTTTTTATTGAATTCGGTAAATTCATCAAAAAATAAATAAATCAGATAATTCTTGATGGAATCAGCATAGCTTGAACATTGATTGTTTGATTATCTTACTGTAATGGACGTAGCATGTGTCAGGATCTAAATATGTAACAAAAACTCTTACGTCATCCATTGAATAATAATACAACAATGCAGCGCCATCTATCGAATAGCACCACAAACAAAAATACATAAACAGTTTCACACTTTCAGTAATCAAGGTTCAGACAATTATTAAAATAATTGCGGTATGTGCAACAACCATTTCTTTATAATAGAACATAAGTTTAAATAAAAGTACTCTCCTCACAACAAGAACACGACTTTCACTAGGACTGTACGTGAGGGTTTGATTCAGTGGCGTATTTTCCGTGTTACCGCGTTTACCGGTCGTAAACCAGCTTTGGGAGAATTTAAAAATAATGTTTTAGTCAATATAGGAATATTTGAATCTCATCCATTACTAGCACAAATATATAATTACTGCAGTTTTGAAAAAGGAGTGACACAAAATGTTATTTACACGAGATATAGCCATCGTTGACTGTGGTGATTGGTGCCATGAAGACAGTTCAGCCTATCAGCGTGTCTTAAACACCTTGGATTGCGGTGCAAAGTAAGGTATTAGATGCCAAATGGCGCTAATTTAGTATTATTTATTATGTTAAATGCTAATTTATTTTCAGTTACGCATTTTTCATGCTCATTTTGGATATTTTTGTATGTTTTGATTACTGTTATACAAGTATATATATATATATATAAGTGCGATAAACCAAAGCCACCGGCAAGGATACACCAATGGTTTGATTATATCTTTATTGATGTAATTTTTAAATGTAGTACTGAGAAACTGAAGTTCTTAAAATTATCATTTTTTAAATAAAGGGTAACATTTTAATAAATAAAAGCATTACAGTATATATCAGTAAAATTTCTGAAAATTTTTAGCTCTGTATGTTGAATCATTTTGATGTAATGAGTTGTGTATGACTAAAGAGCACAATCCGAACACTTTTCCCATGCAGTACTTCCCAGAAAAAAATTCCCTTTTTAAAAAAAAGTTCACTTTTTCAATGAAGTATGAATACAACGATTAATAATTACTAGCACAAACAGCTGCCCATATGGTGGCGTTTCTGTTAGTTTAATTAATCATCATGAAGCAAATAAACCATCAAAGCTGAATATCAAACACTAAAAGGAAACTAAAACACTTCCCTCGCTGAAGACAAACGTCAGACACGGTATGAAATCTTTAAGGCTCTCATGAAAACACAAGTTAAACATAACTCATACTCAGAGAAACCCGGCATCCCTCTCAACTAGCGGGTTGTGTGTTTGAAAAGGGCGTGGCCTTGATGGCTACCTGCGATAGCTGTCTATAATTTTAAAGGGATCCATTAGAGGGAAAATAGCTAGTTAACACCATTCGCCGTTAATTCGTTGACTACTCTAATTGAATATTTGGATATGACCGTTACTCTTAGAACGTACTTACGACCTTAAAGTGCAGAACGCGCGTATTTTTTAGCGGTAACACGGATCCACAATCTGGCAGGTTAGTCACTAGGCTACTCTCGGCCAAAATTTAGATGACTAGGATACGAGAAACAATGCCAGTACCCTATCGAATACCTACTGCGTTCATCAAGTTGAAACTTGTGTATCGATTTCTGTATTTGGTTATATATGTCGATGAATTAAGTACGAGTACCAGTTTAGCTCATTTTCTATTTACCTGATATCAGGTTCATGAACTTTAGTTGTAACTTCTTATTTACGTTTAACTATAATTTTGGTAAATAAATAGCCTTGGCTCTCACACCTTACATAACATTTGCGGGTTCCTTTTTTTTAAATGTCTTTAACTTCAGAAACACATTAAACCAACTAAACCCTAAAGCTTTAATTAATAGCTTTGACGTTGTATCACTTTTCACCGAAGTTCCCGTCAAGGAAGGTTGTGATATTGTACTTGACCTCTACTGTAAAGACCCCAATCTTTTAATTCATATCCCCCAATACACTTTTTGTTTCCCTCTTAGAATTCACAACAAAAAATCCAACTTCATTTTCAACAACAAAAACTTTCTTCAAACAGATGGTTTGAGCATGGGCAACACTATTTCACCTGCTCTTGCCAACATATTTATGACCCAGGTCGAAACACAAGCCATACAATCAGTACTTTATCTTCCCCTGTATTGGTACAGATATGCACATGACACTTTTGCTGGTTTCACTTCTACCAAACACATACACACTTTATTTGAACACATAAACTGTATTCACCCTGTCAGATTTAAATATATATATATAACTTCTTTTTGCCAATTGTCGAAATAAATAGCTTTTATTTATATTTCTTAATAGTATAAATATATACTATGTTGTTGTTAGGCTTAAGATTCTTCTACTGTAGGTGTCTGGGACTTGTTAGAGATAACTTAAACGATGAATAAACAGCACACACTTTACTTGTTTTAAAATAATATATACATACATATTCGGAACAAATTAAACGTATGTACAACAAAGTATTCATGCTACAGAGATTACAGACACATCATAAACACTATTGATTTATAGTTCTCTTCTTCTTGTCAAAAGTCCACTTAGGCCTATTCAATTACCTTAGAATTTCAGTTGACAAGAGAACTATCTTCTCTATATTACTATCGTACTAATATTCTGTGTGTGATTCACTTACAGTTGTGGCGCAAGTTACCTTAATTCGTTTGGTCTTCTTTCTTCCGAAGATCCTCTGCTCCTTTTGTCAAAGTGTACCAAGGCTGATTCAATTACTTTAGAGCCACGCTTTGACGAAATAAAATTATCCTTATCTTTTTTATACTGCTAGTTTCACTCTAACATATTAAACGTTAGGACTATCAATTTCACGGTACTTAACTTCACACAGCTTTATTCTTTTTTGCTATTTTCTGTTTATTGTTGTCTGTCTGCTGCTTCCCGCTCGTCTCATGCTATTTATTGCTTAATTACCATGTCTTCTGCCCGCTTTCTAAATTTTCGATTCTATTTGGTTATTAACAAAACTTTCTACAATCGTCTGCTTTTAACTCTTATTATAACAAAATTTAAAAATAATAAAGTATTCACTCACAAATATATAAATTAATCTCTAATATTTAAACAAAACAGTCTTTTATATCATGACACACCCTAATATTAAATTCACCATTGAACATGAAAATAACAAACAACGATTTTTTCTTAAACTCGACATTATTAGATCCGACATAGTTCAAAACCCAAATTCACGGAAAGAAATCACTCACACAGACCTCTACATCCATTGGAATTCCGCCTATGAATAAAAAAAGCCAATATACTAAAAAACTTATAAACACAGCTTCAAGACTGCTCAACTGACTACATAGATAAATAAACCAGCTTTATAATGCATTCATTCATTCACACCAACAAATTTCCACCAACTATTGTCGAAAATTTTCCATACAACCACCAGAACAAGAACTTAACACACAAACAAATTTGCCACTAATCCACCAAATAACAACACAGTATTACACTGTAGTTTATTATTCACCCCTGAAATCAGCTCAAAGTAATCAACACTTGGAGAAAACTTGCCATTAAATCTAAAATTCCCGTTGACTTCACATTCACACACACACACACACACACAAAAAAAAAAACAGCCTTAAACTATAATCATTACGAAATACAAATTATATAAAATCACACAATACCAACGTCATTTATAAAATATAGTGCAATAACTGTCCCGAATATTACATCGGAGAAATTGGAAACCAGATTCACCGAACACAATAAAAACTTTCCCATGTTTACCACCATTGCAACTAAAAAAACATCCAAAAACCACAGTATATTTATACAAAATACTGTAATTTTAAACAAAGAACTAAGCACCAACAACTGCAAAATAAATGAAGCTATCTTAATTGAACAAAATAGCCCCACCGTAAACCAACACCCCGGGGTACAAAGATACCGTTCACGTAATCTCCTCGTTCCATACTGTATATATATTCATGTGCCTCTGTAAACTACTTGTACCAGATGATGACAGAATCTTGTCGGAACATTGTAATCTATAATAAAGTTTTCTTCCTTGCCCATTCAAGATGTCTCCTAATTTATGATGTATAACTATAAATGATCAAATTTGTTTCAGGTGGCGCTGTTCATTCGTATTATATTTAAAGTAACGTATAATATCTTTAAATATTAATCACATTAAATTGAAGACATATTGTAAAACTATAAATTTTACTGAGTACATCTAAGAATAATTATTAGGGTTTGGTATAAATAAATTAAACTTGATTAAAACATTTATATAAAAATGTGAAATTGATAACTATACTTCTTGTATACTTTGTGTTACACGATGACGCCATCGTATTTGGCGTTTCGGGTGTGTAAACAAAAGAAGGCTTCACCGTTAACGTATTGAAATAAGTTTTGTGATTGGAAGAATTATTAATTGATTTACGCCTTGTGGATTGTACTGTATTTCCGTTATTAGCATTTCTGGCAAGAACGTTTATTAAAGTAAAGGTAGGGACAATTTTTCATTAAATAAGTAGATACTTTTACGTTTTAAATTTACGGAGGAGCAACAAACAGTCGTGTAAATGTTATTGTAGTTAGAACTCTTATTTTGAATATACCATTTGCTAGCAAATGAGCACTAACTGTAACACTCCAAGCGATGAGTAACGTAATACACATATGGTGTGTTTATAATTGCACCGAGCTTCTTTCGTAAAGCATAAAAACCGAAACACGAAAACTGAGTGTTCGACAATTTTATTCGTGAGGAAATAAAATGTATTATTCCTCTTCCCCTTTTTTCATTATATAGCATGAAACAAAGAATGTTAAACTTTTCAATTGTAATGTAAACTTCACCATATGAATTTTTATAGTAAAGAGTTAACCTAGTAAGTAATTAAACTTATTTAAAGTAAGATGATTTTAGTTTTCCCTCTTTTAAAATACTGGTTTATCTTCAAATTCATCTTACACGTACATCAATTATCTACTTTGACACTAGCCATGAACACTAAACAGTAGTAAAACTTTGAGTTTCAGATTAAAACATATGTTTTTCATTTGTCTTTGTGAGGAAAGAAAATTAATTAGAACTTTGGCCAATGAATTCAGTAAAAATATTTCAACGTAGTAAGACATGTGTACCTCTGTGCTCTAAATATGTGCCCCATTGGTATGAAATTGATATTGTATGGACCTATGGGTGATGATGTGATGGTTGATTCAGAATTGTATATTTGTGAGGATTTTGCAGTTATTTATTTGAGAAGACCTTCTTTCAAATCAGGAAACTGATCTGTAATAATTATTTAACTATGAAATGTTAGTCTTATATATATCTTACTGTTGCCTTGTTTTATTCTTAAATTTGAAGCTGTTCATCTGGTTTATGATAGGTCTCAGTTCTGTTTTGCTTCTGTGCAGTGGGTCAACATTTTTAAAGTAGAATTTAATTTCATTACTACTACTACTCAGACAGATCTTCTATTTCTACAACATACATAACATGAAAGTTGGTTATCTTGAACATAACCTCATATTGGACAATTTTTTACAGGCTTGGTTAGCTTTGATATGCACATAAGGTGTGTGGTGTTTGTTATTCTGTAAAAAAAAAATTGTAATTAGATTTAAAAAAAATTAAGTTTTCAATAAGTATGAAGCAAATATTTTAACTTAAAGAAAAGTATTACAGATGTCTTCCAATAAGTATTGAAACTTAAAATCTGTTGTTTGAGTTGATGTACACGTGGGCTTGCAAGGACACGCTTCACTAATTGTTATGTAAGAGGATGTAGTGCATTAGAGAAAACAAAAATATATTGTTATATTTATTGTAAAAAATAAGGACTTCATTAATTACACAGTAGTTTCATTTCATAAATTGTAAGATGTTTTCCCCTTTCAGATATGCATACACATATCATTTTTAATGCAAATTATTTAGTTCGTTAAATTTAGAAATCTAATTGTAACCATTTATCAATGTATATTGTTGTATATGAAGCTTAACTTTCATTTTCAATTTCATTTATGTGTTAGGATTGTAAATGAACAATCTCTTTTGTTCCTGCAGGTCCACATAAGATGTCTAATGACGACCAATCAATGAACTGCCATGGTGACAGTGGAGAAGATGTAGGTGATGCTCTAGGTATACCATTTTTTAGTAAGACCTCAACAGCAGCAGCCTACTTGTCGATTCATCCTGACAGTGAAGAGTACAACATGAAACACAAAATGAGAGGAAAGTGTCTGATATTTAATAACAAAGATTTTGATCCCCATACTCGTCTGAACGAAAGGAGAGGGACCAATCAAGATGGTGAACAACTCTATCGTTGTTTTAGAGAATTAGATTTTGAAGTTGTCATGCACTGTAATTTACCCGTAAAAGCAATGCTTAATGAATTGGAAAAGGTTAGTAAGGAAGACCATTCAAATCGAGATTGCTTTGTCTGCTGTATTTTGACACATGGAGAACAAGGTGCATTGTATGGCCGAGATGGGAAGTTTCCCAATGAAATGGTATTTACACCATTTACTGGTGATTTGTGTACATCCTTAGCAGGCAAACCAAAAATATTTTTTATACAAGCTTGTCAAGGAGATAAGTTGGATAGAGGAGTTACTTTAGCTACGGGAAAAGATGAACCTGATGCTGGATCAAAATTTTTCAAGATACCAACCCATGCTGACTTCCTTATATGTTATTCAACTGTGCCTGGGTTTTATTCGTGGAGAAACACCAACAATGGGTCCTGGTTTGTGCAGGCATTGTGTAAGGTGTTGGAAGCTCATGCCAAGGCCATGGATTTACAGAGTCTAATGACAATAGTGTGTCGGAAGGTAGCGTATGACTTCGAGTCTTGTGTACCCAATGATCCAGGAATGGACAGGATGAAACAAGTGCCTTGTATAAGTTCCATGCTCACTAGAAAAATCTATTTTCATCCAAAGATTTAGTCATGTTCATGCACTGAGCAGTTTACACAAACTTAAATTTTTCTGAAAGCAATTGTAGTATGTTGTAGTAACTGATGATTTTTAGATACTTTTTATTAAATTCACACGGTTTGAAAAATATTTTTCTCTCTTTAACAGGAATAAAATATGGGGGTAATCTAGTTTCTTTAGAAGAAGCCTATGTTTTATAAAGTAGAATAATAAAGTGGTGGTAATCAGTTGTCCTTACTAATAACAGTATTTGGTTTTGGCTTGAATGTACCAAACATGTTTACAACATAATACTAGCAAAGGACTACCAACTGAAGACAGGTTTGTGTGCACTTCAGATTAAGATTACTTATTTCATAACTAGTTAGTCCTAAAAAGCACTGTAAAAATATTGTACAACAGAAAATTGTGAAGGTACTCTGAAAGAAACAGGATTTTATTCTTAAAGGCCTACTGTATTAGAATACCACGAAACATTGTATGATAATTACGGTTAGGAAGCAGGCAACCCAGACATTATTCATCATTATAGCTCTTGTTACTTCTGTATACAGGCTTGGTCCTTTTCACTGACAATTGTGCATTTTACAGAGTTAATTAAACAACTTTATTATAAATATATATCAATAAACTTTGTATCAAATTGTAGTTTATAATTCAAATTTTAAAATATAAGAGTTTTAATTTGTTAATTTCCTAAGGAAATATTTACACATTTATCAATCTTCTGTATTTCCTGTGGCACTTGTTTCCTCCAAATTCCCTGTTTTAGATTTTTTTTCTTCCCCTGTATTATCTTCTAAGTTTATCACGAATTACAAACTTATACAATAGATATTCCTAAGATAAAGTATTAATTTGTAGCCTTTAAACTTTTTGCTTTAGTGAGATATCTATACAAGAAAGTGAAATTTGCATACCATGCCCTTCCTATCATGTCTTGTGTTTCATTAGCTATTGGATTATTTACAATCAATACAACTAGATTTTAATTTAGTGAAATTCTATGAGTCTAAATTTGTTCAGGTGACAGATTTTGAAAAATTTGGCCCCAGTTTCCTTGTTTGACCAGTTATTGGAAATATTTTGACCCATTTATAGCTTAGGCTTTGAAAACCAGTTAAATTTTAATAGTTTTAAGACATTCTGTTTTTTGTATGTGACAAATTTTGTATTTTAAATTACACATTTTAATTTAAAAAACTTGAGACAACACTATTGATACTAAAAAATAGGGTTAGTATACATCAGGGGCTTAGTTCTTATGAGTACAAAATATGAAAAAAGACAAGAATGCAGATTTAAGTATTAAATTTCTTCTTTTTTCATGAATATTTGTTATTTATTGTTATAAAGTAAATAAAATTTAAAAATTAGATAAGAAAACATAAATGAAAAAAACAATTAGAGATATTATTCACATGAGAGCATGTGAATATCATGAGGCATCATTATGTAGTTCGACATATGCATACACAAAACTGTCCTACTGTGATGAATGGCTTTTACCATACTCTGAAAGGGTCCGACTTTTAGGTATATCCATAAAGCAATAAATCTAAACGAACACAGCTTTGCTTGTAAGAATAAATATAGTGTTATTGTATGTTACAATGTGTAGTCATTCTGCAAAGAAAGAAGGGTAATTTAGATTTACTTTTGGTTTATCAACTTTTCGTTTATCCTATGTTGCTGATTTTGTTACAGTTAGTGTTAGGGTAAAGAAAATAGAAGTTAAGATGTATTTCCCAAAGAAAAACTTCTGATATTCATTCAGGAGTTCTAGAGGTTATGCAAATAAAATTTGAAAACTGTATGATGGGGGGAAAAAAGTATTTTTTATATTTATCATGAAAAAATCATCTTGTACTTGGACTGACTCAGTAAAGTCACAGACAAATCTTTAGTAAAAATATCTGTTTTTGGGTACAAAAGACTTGCACTGTTTGCTTAAAGCTTGCTAATTTTCACGAAAAATTCACTTAGTAAATTCAGAGTTATAGTCTTGTTATACTTTGACCAAGCCCATACATAGAGAGTTAAGTACGATCTATTTCTTTCTTTACTAATTCGGTAAATTGTAGGTGTGGTGGTCCAAACATGTTTGGAAGTGTTCGTGCACAATGTTTATAAGAGAACTAAAAAGATAGAAGTTTCAAAGTGCTAGGTTAGGACTTTATGTGGGATGGAAGAGGCCAATCCATTCTAACTTAATAATACCATAATGTTTAAAAAAAAATGTCCCACGGAGTTGCCGTTTCACAATTGTGTTGTATTCTTCATATTATGAAACACTTAACAAAGTATTCTATCAGCAGTTGATCGATAGTAACTTATTAAACATAATTTTTTCATTAGCCACGGTTTATTCACATCCAGCGTATGGGAAAGAAAGTCATTTAATTCTGAATACTTTTTGTGACTAGAAACACTGAATCATAAAATGAACAGAATAGTAATAGTATGAAATATAGTTGAGCAAGTCTATACATAAGGACTTGAGGATATGATATACCTGGGTTTTATATGCACATAGTAATAACAAGTGAATCATAATTATAGTATTTTGGCATTTGTGTATAAAGTTAAAATCATAAATGATATTCAACGTTAAACTGGTACCAGTTTAACTTTGAATATTATTTATGATTTTAACAAATTAATTCTCACTTAAAATTATCAAAATATTATGTGATAGTTCTAGAAGAGTGTAAAATGCTTTTAAAGAAAAAAGTTTTGTATTTAAATTAAACGTGAGAACATGATACGCAGTTTTTGCTGTTAAAAATGGTTTGCTGATAATTTTGTTTGTTTGTGGATGATCTCTCACAACATCGAAAAAAACAACTGCATCATAGGTATTAAAATGCAGGAAATATTGACAAGATTAGTCAAAATTTGGATTTTAGAGATAATTTTTATGTTAATGATGCCATAAGTATTTCACAAAATTTTCTGTCTTGGAGGAAAGTTTACTGATTAGTTTGCCAGACTGTACGTCTAAGAGCCCCTGATTTCTATCCTGTTGCCATAAAAAGAAAAATAATAGTTGTGCTCAGCATTTTGGGGCCATGGGTGTATCGTAAGAGTGACAGTTCGTTCCCATTATTTAATCAGAGTAATTTGAGAGTTGGTGTTGACTAGCTACTTTCCATTAAATGTATTAGTTTAAAATTAAGGACTGCTAGCACAGATAGCTTTTGTGCAGACTTTTAGGAATATCTAAAACAGAAACTTGAACAGTTACATACCTGACTTACATTTTATCTGTATGAAAAATTATGTATAATATCATAAAGATACTGTTTTACATCTGTCACTGATTTTTACTTTGATAAGCATCACATACAGACACTAGAGAGCACCAAATTCGTGAATTTCTATCCGTGTAATAAATTTATGTGGGTTAATAAAGAGAGGAATAATTTAGTGAGTTTACTGTCTCAGAAATTTGTGTAGTTGCTTTCAACTACTTGAAAAATTGTAATTTGTGTTGCATTAATATGCACAAATGGTCCCCATGGTTCTTACAGTAGTTACCATAGCGATAATTTCTTTGTGTAAGTTTGAGATGTTAGTTAGTTCAGCTGATTTGGATTTCATGATACACTACTGTATTAACCTTGTGCTGTAGTGCATTATATGTTTAGGACAACAATTGTCTAGGATTCTAATATAACATTTACATTAATAAAGACACAGTTATATATATAGCATGCACATAAAGAATAAGGGACTAATTCAACATTTTACTTCTGCAAGAATATGACTAAAAACTGATAATTGTGGCAGGTTTTCGAGGCTACAGTGAGATCATGCGATCCATAGTTTGGTGTTTGTTACTTCATAATTTTCTCTTGTATGTGTGTATCGTTTGTAGACTATACTTATGATTCTAGTGAAAGACAAAAACAAGTGTTATTTATTCTCGTTAATAGTTAGATTTAGCTTGCATTAATTTGTAGCCAGTATTACTTGTTCATTAATGTTGTTAATTAGCATTATTGGGATTGTTATGTTTTATAACCTTAAAAAGAGAGTGGAATTACTACAGATTACTTAAACGTACTTAGATTTTTAAACGTGTATGTTCCTCGCATATCAATTCTTATAACCTATATAACTCGAATATCTTTGTTGGAAGATGCAAAGTTTCGTCAAACATACATTTTTTGTTTGAAATTTCAAGTCAAATTGTTGTGTTTATTTGAATCATTCTTTATATTTGACCATTTAAATCACTGTGATTTCGCTAGTTTAACATTGTTTTTATAAAAATGAGTACGTTTGATAGTCTTGTAGGTGAAACAAGTTTAATTATAATACAGAAGTGTACATTGGTAGTGCTGTGTAGTGTGACTAATGGCATTTTGTATACAGATATCCATTTTATTTCAAAGAAGTCTGTAAGGTTGTGTTTCAGCTTCAGCAGTATTATTTAACATGAATGTAAAAGTGAAACCTGTACCCTGAACTGCACCAAGATGTTATTGATAAGATAGCACATAGGTGTGCCTTGCTCAAAGTTTACAGGTTATTATTTCCATAATTGGTATTTATGCCAAGTGCCTGCATCTATAAGTGATTAAGATTTATATATGTAAAATATTTTTTACAAATCACAGTTTTTAAATTTTCAATACTAGAATCAGCTTGTACTGTTGTCCTGTGCTAAATAAAAATAATACAAATAACCGTTTTGTTCCATTTATGCATTTTAGATTCAGCTATAACTGTTTACATGAATATAGTAAGTACATGTATGATATGTTAAATATTTTTAACCATTACTTATAAGAAAAATCTTACTATAATGGAGCAATGGTGTGGCCGTCTATATACCCATCTATTTATGTATGCGACCGAAATAATAAATACAATGCTGTCAATTGTTGTGCTCAAATACAACAAAATATCAGTCAGAAATAGTGATTGAGGCTTATGAAATGTGGCGCCATCTATTTAATGGCACCACAAACAAAATCCATAAAAAGAATTTTACACTTTGAATATTCAAGATTCGGACAATTAGGAAAATAACTATGGTATGTGCAATAATTATTTATTTATAACAGAACACAATTTTAAATAAAACTACTTTCCTCACAACTTTCACTAGGACTGTATGCAAGGGTTTGATTATATCTTAATTGTTGTAATTTTTAAATGTAGTTAAAAAAAAACTGGAGTTCTTAAGAAAAATATTTTTTTCAATAAAGGATAGCACTTTTGATATATAAAACATTAGGTTATTTCAGTAAA